CTATATCTTTTGATAGCCGGGCACCATCAGCTTTCTTCACCACATTTGCTTATGCACACATTTGTCTTCAATGATTGTATCAGGAAGGTGGGCACCCACTGATATGATTTTTAGTTCTTTGATGTCTGATAACTAGTCCCTTCTACACTTTGTGGTCAGACAGGCTGGTGTGCTTCTTCCATGTGGGATTTGATGCTTCTCAGCTAGATGGTCGTTTGTTTATCTTCAAGCCTTTAAGATCCCAGACGCTATATCTTTTGATAGCTAGGCACCATCAGCTTTCTTCACCACATTTGCTTATGCACACATTTTTCTTCAGCAATCATGTCTGGAAGTTGTGCATCCTGGAATGCCAATTTAATAGAGCACCGTGTTTTTGCATTGAGTAAGTGCTTTAGTGGAGGCCCAATGTCCATCTGCTGCCTTAATACTAAACCTATAAATATATGCACGTAGATCTGTTTCCCTACACTCATATCAATATACTTACGTATGTACATTCCAGTCTTTAGACCTCTATAAATACCCTTTGTCACCTACTTCTTTCCTCTATGTCTTTTTTATTTTCCTCTTGTCCCACTATCATGCTCAGCCTTCATTTAGGTTTCAGTAATTTCTCTCGGTTACATTGCCCTTGCTGAATTCCTACCAGGCCTCTCACACCCTCCTTGCCACTGATTTTGGATCACTTGTTGCTCCCCTGTCCCTGGGTTGGTACCACCACCTCCTTACCCCCACCTCCCCTTCTCCCATGACTCCCGGAACCCTTGATCCCATTGTTTTCTCCTCCGAACTATTCCTCCAGTCTATCTTATCTAGATAGATCTGTAGAGATAATAATATGCTCCAAAAATCAAGCCATAACAAGATAGGCGATGAATGAGAACACAGCGATGACAACAAAAAATAAAACCAATTACCCATAGAAGAATAAATTAATTAAAAGAAAAAAAGTTTAAGAAAGAAAAACCTGTAAATAGATCAAGGTCTGATTCTTGATCTCCAGGCGTGTCCTTCAGTCAGGTCTGATGGGCTGCCATGCTCTGGCCCCAGAGTCTGTACCTTGTACTCCCTCAGGGGCTCCCTGCTCTGCTCCCACCATTGATCTGCCTCACGCCTTCAGTGGTTTGCCTTATTTTTTATCTTTTAACTCCATTTTTCCACTGACATTTTCCTTTGCTCTCATATATAACACTCTTACTTATATTCTCAGTATTAAATGGAACCTTAATATCTAAAAGAGCCTTATAACCTTCATAGTTAGAAATCTGTGTTTATTATTTATTTTAAACATTAAAAAAATATCTATCTTTAGATTCTTTTGTTTCCCTGTCTAGAGAGCAATTTATTGTTTCAAACACTTTGTTCACTACCCTGTCCCTCAGCTTTACCTTGAACTCATTCACAATTTGCTGAATGTTTACAGTATTTATATCTTGAAACACAAATCTTAACTTTTGGGCTTTCATTCCTTCTTTGTCAAATGATGAGGTGCCTAGAAATTACTTCCATCACACAAACCACTTTCCTAACTTCCTCTGTAGCCAAAACCCCTGATGAGACCCCCGGTTTCACACGTACCAGAGGCTCCAGTTTTACCCGCTGCTGTCGTTTCCTGGTCTTCTCCTGAGCTTTTGTAGTGTGTGCGAAAGTCAGAACGTGAGAGGCCTTTTCTGGCGCCTGTGCAAAACTCGGTCTTCCCATTGTTCTTAAACTATTCAGTCTTGTGAACACAGTGTTCTCCACCTGCTCATCAGTACTTTTGTGGTCGAGGTCACTGTCCTTGCCCTGCACAGACATCCTTAATTCTGGAAAGGGTCGGGGCAGGAAAAGAACAATGAAAAGTACAGTTAAAAGATTGAGAGACAATGACTAGCAGAGAGAGATTTAAGTTGCATTTACTTATTCCCAAAGAAAACACATGGGAGTGAGCCCAATCATCCCAAACTGAGCACGTAAACTAAAGACTTGAAAATTGGGAACTGTGTCTGGTGTCCAGGAGGCCCTACAAACAAAACAAAACCCATTACCATTGAATCAATCCCTACTCAGTGGTCCTATAGGATAGGATAGAGCTGCTCCCGAGGCTTTCTGAGACTGCAAATCTTTAAAGAGGCTAACTGCCTCTCTCTCTCTCTTTTAATTATTAGTCGGGATTTACATAATACATATATCATATCATTCCATATTTCAATCACGTCAAGTAGAATTGTACAATTGCTACCACAATAAGTTTCCGAACAATCTTTTTCTACATGGATTCCTTGACATCTTCTCCCCCTTTAACACACAACCACCACTGTATCCCCTCTCACCAACCCCTTCTTCTACTTGCTGTCCCTATAAGGTTCATCAATCCTGGGTTTCATATACCGAAAAGTGGAAAAGCATGTAACACAGCTTCAAGAGGGTGCCCTCCATTGACACAACACCTCTGAGATGCAGCAGCCACATCTGGTTAATACAAACAGCCCATCTTGCTAGTAGCCTAACACATAACCACACCACCTCCAAGACTCCTTGGGGTGGAGTTCAGGAATTTGGCATTTCTACCAAGTTCTTGGATGATGCTGGTGGAGATTTGGAAGAATGAAGAGAATATAATTAGTATCAAGGTCAACGGTTCTCACACCCAAATATGCAAAAACATCTCCTGGGAGCTCCTTCAAATAGCAGGCAAGTGGGAAACCCCACCCAGACACTCCAGAAGGAAACAAAGAAGAAGTCAGACCTCAATTCAATAACAGTAAGGCTTCATATTCTCTTTGCATGACAATCACTTGAGTGGCTGGTTAAGGTGCAGATTCTGATTCTTGGAGTGGCAACTGGTGAAAACATTTGCACCTTGAGCCTCACTGTCCTACTGCCCCTGCACTCCTCACCCCCACTCCCACACCACCAGACTGCTAGGATTGTTGCCACATACCACCTCTCTGCACTCCTGAGGTTTAGTCTCTATCTGTGATGGCCAATATTCGTGTATGAGTGCCTTCTACACAATTTTAATTTTTTAAGTAACCCACATTCAAAAAGAAACAAGAGGATGAATTTTAATACTATTTATTTAATATATGTTCAAAATATCAGGATTTGAACATGTAATAAATTGAAAGATTGTTACTATATTTGGTACTTTTTTCTTTTTTAGTATGCTTTTGGAAGCCTGTGTGAGTGTCCACCTGGGATCTTCCCGCACATGGCCCTGTCTGCCTCCTGCAGGGCAGCGGGTGGTTTCAAATAGCAGATGTTGCAGCTCACAGCCCAAAGCGTAACCACTATGCCGCCAGGGTTCTTTCCCATATGGCTGGCAGCCACCAAATAAGAGCTAGGCAGGGCTAGACTTGACCATTCAACGTGAGATCGTGGCAAATCTCCTTTGAGCTCTGTTTCTCACTTTATAGTCCCCTAAAACGAGAAGCCAAACAAGACAAAACTGTTTACTTGTTATTGAGGATACTGAGGCTATATAAATGTTTACAGGAGAGTCTGGGTTTGAACCTGCCACGGAAGGGCTCCCGGGCTCTTAAAATGATACGTCATCAATTTAATTTTCAAAAACACTGCTATCCAAACGATTCTAACGTGCAGGGCCTGCATAGGACTGAGTAGAACTGCCTGCCTCTTTGGGTTTCTGAACCTGAGCTCTTTACCATCACGGAAAGCCTCATCTCCCTCCCTCTGAGGGACTGGTGGGTTATAACAGCTGACCCAGAGATTCGCAGCCCGCTCACCGCGCTGAGTCTACTGACTCTTAGAGACCCGACAGCGCAGTGGTGACTTAGTGGTTCTGCATCCGACTGCTAATTGCCAGGTCAGCCTTACAAAACCACCCGTCCATCCACGGGAGAAAAATGGAGCTTTCTACTTCGATAAAGAGTCTTGGAAACTCACAAGGGCAATTCTACCCTGCTCTAATGACTCAGAATTGGGGTCGCAATGACTCAGAATTGACTCGATGGCCGTGATCAGGACGGACAGTGGGTTTCCCAAACGAACTCTGTACGGGAATATATCCGTTTCTCTCCTGAGAAGCAGCTAGTGGTTTTGAACTACTGACCTAAGGTTAGCATCCCAATGCAACCCCACTGAACCTCCAGGGCTACCAGCACAGTCCACTAACTCAAACCCAAACTGCCATCAAGTCGATGCCAACTCATAGCGACTCTATAGGGCAGGGTAGAGATGTCCTTATGTCCCCTCCCCTGTGAATTTGAGACTGTAACTCTTGATGGGAGTAGAAAGCCCCGTCTGCCTCCCTCAGAGAGGCTGGTGGTTCTGAACCGTTGACCTTGTGGTTAGCAAGCCAACGCGTGCGTACTGCGACTCCAAAACTCCTTGCCAGAGACTGTATTCGAGTCATCCTAAAAATGGCAGGTCGGTAGCAGGTAATCACAGGTCAAGGCTTCCCTCCCTCTCCGACTCCCTCCCCTCCACCGACTATCCTCCCTGTCCATCTCTGCTAATCGCGCGCCGACCCCGACCCCGAAGTGGGAGCCCAGCCCCAAGGCTGTGCCCCGCAGGACTCACCCAGTCAGATTGGAGAAAGGTTAGACGGCGGTCTCCTGAGGTCGCCAGTGAGGAGGAACAAATCTGCCACCCCGGGGAATGTTTACAGTTGCCTAGCGGCCACTGGCCCCTACCGACGCGCCCGGCGTGGTCCCGTGGCCTGTCGCTAGGGCAACCCCTGGACCAACCGCAGGGGCGTGTCGGGATCAGCCCCTCCGCACGCGCAGAACGTCTCCTGCGCCGCTGGTTGCCCGGGCCCGGCCTGGGTCCCCGCCGCTGCACGTCCGGGCTCCGCGGGCCGAGTTGCAAAGCGAGGCGGTTAATGCTGTTGCTTCCTTCCCTGGTCGGCGCCGACTCTCGTAGATCCTCCCTCCCGCATCCCTTCTCTGTTTTTTTAAGACCTTTCAGCTGACTTGACTTTCGCTTTCATCTAAACGCCTTTGGTTAGAGGGATCGGGAATCGCAGAAGGAGGTGCGTTGTGTAGGGAATTCGGGACCTGCGGACCTCAACGGGCAGAACTCCAGGGCATCCCTGTACCACCCCTACTGCCCTCGTCACAGGCTGAAAGGGGCATGCTCCTATCGCCTTCCGACTCCACCGTGCCTTTCCACCAGACACTCCTGCCCGTCTGGAGCTAGCCAGCGGCCTGCACAGCACAAGAACGTGGCATCCATCCGTCCTAAGACAGACCAGAGGCGACACCGCCGAAGCACCGTGTAGGTTTGCTGACAAAAGATGCTTCTCCCAGTCGGAAAGCAGTCATTTTATCTGCCCAGAAGAAATGTTACACCAGCCAACATCTCCCCCTAAAAATGGCATCAATGCCGCGCATCTTCTCTATGCGCAGTGTGTCCTCGTCTATCTCCATATTCCGTTTTTCCTGTCAGACCCTATATATTATACCCACAACTTACATTTTTCCAACTTACATTATGCTCTATATATTATACCCACAACTTACATTTTTCCAACCTTTCCATATGCAGGTACATTTTATTTGTTGGCTATAACACCACCTACAATTAAGAGAGCCGTCTAAAAATAGAGTTGAATGGAGACTACAGTTTTTTTGTGCTGTAAATTTTATTAATGTTCTGGATGGTATTAAGATATTCACATTAGAAATAAAAACATCAATATTTACAAAAGTCAGTTTTTGACTCATAGCTGCCCATTGTGCTTTCTAGGCTGTAATCCTTAATCCAATCCTCATATAATTAGAAATAATATAAAAGGAAATCTAGACCCAGAAAGAGCAAGTAATTTACCCAAGTTAAGGAAAAATTAGACTCCAAATCCCTGGTCATGAGAAGCAGCAGAAAGGGCATAAAATTAGTTTGGGAACAATTCAAAATACTACAAATGTAGACCTAAGTTTTAATCACAACTAAAAACCCTATCAGTCAATAACATGTGATCATACATATAAACAGTTGCTGGTAGGGGCCTTAATGTACAGCAGAAGGAAACACTGCCCAGTCTGGAACCATCCTGACAATTGTTGCTTTGCTTGAGTCCATTGTTGCAGTCCCTGTGTCAATCCTTTTTTTTAAACATTTTATTAGGGGCTCATACAACTGTTATCGCAATCCATACACACATCAATTGTGTAAAGCGCATTCGTACATCGTTTCTCAAACCATTTTCTTACGCTGAACCAGAAGACTCCGATTTGGAAAGTCCACTAAACAAATGGGACTTTACCTTGAAGTCACGAGTAGCAGATTTAAAGAATTGAAATACTCCCTTAGATTAAAAAAGAAGAAGAAGAAAGAAATACTCCCTTGGAAATAAGACTGAAATGCCCTAGCATGAGAAAAATCCGACAACTGTTATCCCAAGGTTATAGATTGGAAGTCAATGTCCCTTGGTTCAGATCTCTTGCTTTAGGGTGTCCAATGAATGGTGGTTCAGAACTGCCATATATTTGCTATTTTCATACTCACTTTGCTTTCTTGTGAGATGTCTTAGTCCAGCAGGCATGATTCTGCCTTTGTGAATGAGCGTTATTGAAAGTGTGCTCATTGTTTTCATAAATAGTGGTGTCCAGGCACTTCAGTGTGTGATCTGTGCAGGTCAAAAATCCATGTATTTTTGGTCTAAAAATCTGTCCTATTCATGTCTACTTTTATTTCCTAAAGAGTATTTGAAATTATATAACAGCTAAATTAATGATACTGTCAATAGAATTACCATATGCCCCATGGGATGATTTATAATGTTCCCCTACAGAAGGATTATGATGTCTCTAAAGTGGACTAGGGGCATGTATAATCTGTAGTTACAAGAAGGA